TGTTTTCAGCATGGCAAAATTATTTTGTTATCTTTACTATAGTACTTCTGCTGCTTTGTGCTAATTTATGTTACTTAACTTATCTCCATGTGCTTTTTATGTGCAAACCATTTTATTTTTGCTTTTGTGTTTTTATCTCATAAGTGCATGCTTCAGTGTATATTTAACTTTTAAGATGATTTAAAGAACTTTGCTTTGCATGTTTTGTAATGTATGTTTTGTTTTATTGTTGCTATATCGGTTTTAAAAGCTCTTCAGAGCTTATGTTTGTACTTGTTTTGCATATACCGACTTCAAATAAAGCTTTATGTCTTATGTCTTATGATGATAATTCCTTAATACAAAACATAAGACACTAAAGGCATTTGTCCCTCTGGAACATATTTTTAAAAACATGTACATTATGCAACATATTAGAATCATGTGCAAAACAGTGTAGCCGAGACCATTGATTGGCGCTCTAAAATATCCTATTGACTGGGTCAGATTAGGTGAACGTTCGTCTGTAACGCCCACAACTCACGACGTATTTATTATAGATATTTAAACTGTGGGGTCACCAAAGGGTCTCAACGCCTAAATAAAATAATTCGAAAAACTAATCAGGAATAACCTTTGTGTTTTGATTTATATTGAATACTTAAACGTTCTTTACTTGTGTTTTCGTTATGTTTTGATAACCAATTTTTATGATATCGCACGTTCTTTCAGCAAAAAAAAGGATTTAACTGGCTTTAAAAGTTACAATGCATGTGTTGATTATTATCTTTTTTTTCGGACGTCAAAGCGATTTAACAATTGCGGTTGTCCAATTATGTCATCTTTTAACTTTTATCTGGTCAAAATTTTATTTTAGAACGAATGCATGATCAACTTTAAAAAGTGTGCAAACACAAAACATATAGACAAAATATACTTCTTTCTTGTCTTTTTCGTACTTGCAAGTTATTAGACAGTAAAAAGGCTATTTGGATCAAGCCTTGTGAAATTTGCACTTACGTTTTTGAATAGGTAAAATGTATAGTTTAGTGAACTTTTCTGCTAACTACTATACTTGTGAAAAATCCTTGGCAACAGAAACATATTCAGCTTTTTTTTTTAATCGACCCAATTTACATAGTAATGGACGACTTCGTACATTTTATGATCGCAAATAAAATATGAATATAATATACTGTGCACTGTAGTTCGTATATATACTGAGACCCTTTGGCAACCCCACAGTTTAAATGTTTATAATAAATACGTCGTGAGTTGTGGGCGTTACAGACGAACGTTCACCTAATCTGACCCAGTCAATGGGATATTTTAGCGCGCCAATCAATGGTCTCGGCTACACTGTTTTGCACATGATTCTATCATTCCCAAATTTGATGCCCATATTTCCAAAGCTTTCAGATCTTATAGGAAAATTTGATGGTCTTTCTAGGTGTTAATTTCTCGAAAAAGTAGGCAAGTCAAACTTGGGATTTTACACATTCCAGTAGGTCGTTAATGTGGCAGAGGAAGAGCAGTGGTCTTAGTACTGTGCCTTGTGGTACTCCAGAGTATACGTAGGCATATCCTCAGTGCTCATCGACCCGTATAGATTGTTTTTTCAGGAATGACGATAACCACACATTCAGATTTCCATCTATTCCATATCTATTTAGCATTGCCAGGATTTGTCGAATGGCACGGTATAGATATCTTTGAAAGATCTAGTATGGCCATACAGAGTTGAATTCTGTTGTCAAAACCCCTTAGTAGATCTTCTGTTGTGTATTGTGACTAATAGCTGTGTAATGCAGGAGTAACCCGATCTAAATCCTTTATTTAAATTTGTCAATATTTTGTGCCTTTCTAAGTGTTTTGGAATGTGTTCGCAGATTATGTGTTCTAACAGCTTGCAGGATTTTCTGCTGCGTGAACATCCCCCTTCTTAAATACTGGGGCTGTGTTTGCACTAATCCAATCTTCAGGTTGGGTGCCGCTATCTATAGACTTCGGAAAGATGGCGGTGATGCTAGGTACGAATTTCTCTGCACAGTTATTTAGGACAGTGTTTGGAATTCCGTCTGGTCCCATGGCTTTAGATTGTTTAACATTGTTTAATCATTTGTGTACGCCTTCCGATGTTATGCCCAAGATTGAAATATTTGAAGTTGTTCTTTTTTCAGCACTGGTATTTGTAAGTTTGGATCTAATTTTGTGAATAAGGATTTGAAATGGTTATTTAAAATTTCGGCTTCTTCTTTGCTGTCGTTTGTAAGACCTCCATTGGACTTGAGCGGTACTCTACCAATCTTGTATTTGTTTCCATTAGTGCCTGTTGCACTTCTTTGTCTGGTGTTCTTGTATCTATTTCCATATTGGTCAAATCAATGTCTGGGCAGTTATGATCATCATCAATAATAATGTGTTAAGGTTTTCCTCTCTAACTTCAGGTTTATAATGTCTTTCATATTTCTATGAGACATATCATATGATGCAATGTAAATGTCTTTGCTGTTTTTTCAACTTGATTTTGGACTTTTCCATTTCGTGATCTGTAACGAGGATGCATTATTCCTTGTTATTTTCTTCTCAGTAACTTGGGGCATTACTTGATACGGGATTCATTTCGTTCTATTATAGAAACTTTGTCTATAATATAAGTTGAAAAGAAACAATACATAGAGGCATACATGATGTGAGCCCAGAATGTATTGAAAAATTAAATATCTGCAACTATGCATGAATCACCACTTTGGAAATAGTTAATGAAGCTATGGTTATTCTGTTTTTAACTGTTATAATATCAAGAAACAAGAGTGCACACACTGAAATGTCTTGCCTTCTTTACTAATCATTGATATTATGCTGATAGTCCTAAATATAAAGCTTTATTACAACTGTCACATAAACTTAACATTAACCAAGAAAACTAAACATTGACCGATGAACCATGCAAATGAGGTCAAGGTCGGATGACACCTGCCAACTAGACATGTACACCTTACAATCATTCCATACACCAAATATAGTAGACCTATTGCAAACAGTATGAGAAAAACAGACTAAAACACAAAAACTTAAGTAAAACCAACAAACCATGAAAATGAGGTCAAGGTCAGATGACACCTGCCAACTAGACATGTACACCTTACAATCATTCCATACACCAAATATAGCAGACCTATTGCATACAGTATAAGAAAAACAGACCAAAACACAAGAACTTAACACTGATCAATGAACAGTGAAAATGAGGTCAAGGTCAAATGAAACCTGTGCGACTGCATATAGATCATAAAATACTTCCATACACCAAAAATAGTTGACCTATTGCATATAGTATTAGAAAAAAAGACCAAAACTCAAAACTTAACTTTGACCACTGAACCATGAAAATGAGGTCAAGGTCAGATGACACCTGCCAGCTAGACATGTACACCTTACAATCATTCCATACACCAAATATAGTAGACCTATTGCATACAGTATAAGAAAAACAGACCAAAACACAAAAACTTAACTATAACCACTGAACCATGAAAATGAGGTCAAGGTCAGATGACACCTGCCAGTTGGACATGTACACCTTACAGTCCTTCCATACACCGAATATGCTAGACCTATTGCTTATAGTATCTGAGATATGGACTTGACCACCAAAACTTAACCTTGTTCACTGATCCATGAAATGAGGTCAAGGTCAAGTGAAAACTGTCTGACAGGCATGAGGACCTTGCAAGGTACACACATACCAAATATAGTTATCCTATTACTTATAATAAGAGAGAATTTAACATTACAAAAAATCTTAACTTTTTTTTCAAGTAGTCACTGAACCATGAAAATGAGGTCAAGGACATTGGACATGTGACTGACGGAAACTTCGTAACATGAGGCATCCATATACAAAGTATGAAGCATCCAGGTCTTCCACCTTCTAAAATAAAAAGCTTTTAAGAAGTTAGCTAACGCCGCCGCCGCCATAGCAGCCGGATCACTATCCCTATGTCGAGCTTTCTGCGACAAAAGTCGCAGGCTCGACAAAAACCAAAGGAGGTATTTGTGTTTAAAAATATATACTCAAATAACAAAGTTCTCACCTAAATAGTAATTTGACACCAACAAATTTTTCACAATAATAGTTGATGCAACATGATTACTTAAAACAAATATCACCATTTTTGGTTGTAATGGGTATAATTTCTAAAGTTTGAATTTCCCATGCTATTTAGTAATAGAAATAACACCCCTAATTCATAGCCCATTGCTTTCTATGTAAAATTTTGCATTTTCAAACTTTCATAGCTTTTTTGTTCAATAAAGTGATATTCATGTCAAAACTCTATCTTATCCTGACTTTTGCTAAAATTTTCAACATACCTTTAATTGCATATTAGAGTGCACTGGTACCCCGAATTTTGGTAGTACATTTTCTTATTATTAAAAAGAAATTTTAACAAAGGTTCTACATTGAACAAAACTCCTTAAGATTTCATTTGATACTAATATTTCCAAAAAATTTACTTATTGACAAAGTTACAGTTATGTGCAGGAACTGTTTTATTTAAATATGTACCGGTATTAATTTCTTGTATGTTTGTTCTGACCAACCCACATTGGTGGTTCTATAACTTCATAGGCATAAAGCATGCAAATAAAAATTATAAAAAAAAATCAAAATAGAATCTGAACTACAGACAGACAGACAGTAACATATAAGGAAAGACAGACAGTGATTACTATAAGCACCACTGACCAGTTGATGGGGTTCTAACATAGTTTGCATTTATCTGAGGAAATTTGATTTTAAGTGTTTTAGGCCCCTTCTGTGCATATTATACCTAATGTTTTAATACATCTTTGACTTTCCAATTTTGGTACCGATTATTCCTGATGAGGGTTGTTGATCCAGGGTAATACTTACCAATTGATTTTTTTTTTTACTTTGATTTAAAGAATACTGCCACAGAAAATAACAATTATCTTAAACAAATTTTCTTAGACAGGCTATACAACAAGAGATATTTCAATTTAAAATATCATCATTTTAATTCACAAATTTGATAAATAGTATACATATAACAATCATTTACACTTGAAATAATAAATAGTCTGGAATGTTTCTACTCATCAAGTACTGTGGATGCATCATTATTTGTAGAGTACTAATTTTCTTGGATTTCTTGTGTATAAACAAAATATAAAAATTGAAGCAAAATGCATATTTCTTATAGGCTTGTATACAAAATCTGTTTAAACCAAGAAATTGAATAAACACAATTACCATTTTATCCTCATTCCACAAAAGTTAATAACACAATAATAAATGAATCAACAGTATTGGAGCATAAGAAGTTGAGGCATTTCTGACTAAATCTGTTAAAAACTATGCAGAATAACAAAAACAAATAAGCAACACAAGAAATGCATCACATCTTTAAAGTCTTTCTCATTTTCTTTTATTTTCACATTTAAATTTCATTTCTATTAAAACTATAAATTCTTTCAAGTATTTTATAGCACTCAATACAATGCTGATGAACAAAATTTCCTTATTATAACAGGACCAGAGTTTTCTTACTTTCATAATGTATTTTGTGTAGAAATGAGGCCACAAAACAGGAAACAAGGATTTTCTTTTTTTTTTCTTTTCTGGAACTTTCAGAAGGCCTTAGTTTTAACCATTTTCAAGTTTTTCTTAAAAGCAACTTCTATGAAAACTGAAAAAGTGACTTTCATATGTCTATTTAATTTAATCATATAAGGTCAATATTTTTTACTGATCCATTCTTAACTTAAAATAACAGCTATTTATATATTGAGCCTAAATAAATTGGTTGAGTTGTAATGTATTTCTTTCTACTTTTATTATATCTAGTAAACAGTCAAGAATGATCTTTCCATAAGCATTTCTCCTAACCTGTTCAACTAAACATACATACTTTATAAAATTCAGTATTGCAACAATTCTAGCTTGAAAAATTGAGTAATTTGGGTAAAAGCAAAAACTTTAAACATTTAAACAAAAAAAAGTTGCTTCATCAGACTCATTGCAGCATCATTGAGAATTATAAAACAAACTAAAATAAACAATATGCAAGGACGGACATTTTATTAAATGAGAAAATCATCAAATATAAAAAAAATCTTTAAAAAAATATCGCAATTCATTATCACAGTAAATGCTATTATTAAGAGTTATTTCAGTATAACTGTTTGACTTTTTCCACTGAAGTATTCCAGCTATCCATCCATCTTTGTTCTGCTAATAACAATTTCTGTTTTTCTTCTTCTATTATTTCTAATGTCTTTTCAAACTTATTTTTATATTCCTGAAAGAGAGGATGAAATTGTAGTCTTATAAGTTATTTCATCAAAATAAAGATCAACCAAAGTTGTATCGTAAGGATTGGTTGTTCGCGCCATAAATGTTAATGAGGTCAATATACAAGTAAAAGGTGTCATCAAGTAATGATGGTCTGTACATCTTTCGAGTTTTTACACAATGTGTTAAACTGAATTGTTCCACAAAGTAAATGTTTATTTCTAATAAAAAAATACCATTTTAAAGATAAAACAGTGGATATATTGTTAATATTGTTAATCCATAGCTTACATACTATGTTTAAGTGGTGTAGGAGTAAACTGAAAGAAATATGGGGGGGGGGGGGGGGGGGGTTGACTTCTAAAAGTGATAAGCAAACAATACTTTTCTATAGTATAAAAGAGGGTTGTAGTGGGGGTACCTTCATGACGAATAACGGTAAAAATCCTTGCCAAATGACGTTAATGGAAATTTTTGGTGCATGACGATAAAATGTACACTTTCTTTTAGACGATAAAAAAATCGAATAATTTTAACGAATCACGTTAATTTTTTTCTAAAAATAACGGTAACGATAATTATTTGAGACCTTTGACGAATCACGATAAGGATATTTTGACGAATCACGGTAAAATTTTAACCAATTTGACGCTAACGGTAGCCGAAAATGACCGTTTGACGCCTGACGGTAAAGGGCATTCCTACCCTCATAAAAGTCTACAATTTAGTCAGTATCCTCTTTATTTACATTATTCATATTCGAAATTTTCATAGTTTCCCAGCCACTTTCAATTGCCCTCCTTGCCCCCTTCCCCCTAAAACTATATAAATTATCTATTTTAACATGCAAAAATGTGGCTTATCTTTTGGTGGTATCTTTAAAACAAACCTGATAAGCTTTGTCTCTGGCAGTAATTGTAGCAGTATGTCCCAATGTAGTTTTGGCTGTAGTGACCGAGGCTGTTAGCTGAGGTTTACCAGAACCTTCAATTACCAGTTCATTAGAGGGCATACCTAAATATTAACAAAATAAACTCAACATTAATAAACAAATTTCTGGTATCATATGCATACAAAATAACATTGTTGCTGAACAAAAAAAAACAATTAAAATTTTCTAACAAAATCTAATATGTTAGACAATATGTTAGACAATTTTTAAAGAAATTTAAAGAAATGAAGTATAATATTAGAATTATATTTTTTTTATATCATTTGCATATCTACAAATACTTGAATGTGATTGGTCCATTAGAATTTTTTCCTTTATTTACATTTCAACAGACCATGTTCAAGAAACTACGTCATAATCTAAGGAAATACTATGTCGATTTCACTGTGATAAATTCACACAAGATACACATGAATGGAATCCTAGGGTTCAAAGAAAATTGAAGTTGGAAGTGAAAATAAAATGTTTCGGCTAAGAATGAAAAGGATTTAACACTTTTTTTCTAGAGGTTTTTGATGTGTAAACTGGGTGACTACTTTCATCAAAGTCCTCAGTTTGTGAGTTAATTGGTTTAGTTTACACATCAACTCCTAGAAAAAATGTGATTGACTAAGTGTATTGATAATCATCTTTGTTATGAACTACTAACCTGTCCATGTATTTTTTCCTCGTGGGAGGGCATTTTTATCCTCATCATCTTCTAAAGGCAAACCTTGGTTCCTTCTTCTTATGAGTTCACTGGTTGGGTATTTCTTTGGCTCTACCCCTGCAAATATAGATTAAAGATCATATATATTGTATACGATTACCTTTTACCTGTATAGATCATTTTAATGATTTACTATTTTCAGCTTGATGTCTAGTGGCAAAAATTGAAAGTATATGCATGTCAAGAAAAGGAAATTACATCATAATTCAGCAAAGTGACTAAACCAGTATGAAATTTGTTGAAATTATAAAGTTTTTAAACAATACATTTTTAAAAATTAATGGAAGACTTTTTTTTAAGCAAGCAATAAAAGATTTAACAAATCATTTGTGCTTTATATTTTATATCTTAGTCCTAAGATTATTCTAAATTGTTTCTGGGTTTATTTTTTACTCATGAACATAACATAAATGAGTCTCCCTTCTTTAAATCTTTGCATCGAGATTTCCATGCAGTCCTTGATTTACATTTGAGAAAATGGTGTCATGTTTCTAGGTGCTAGTACAGTAATAGCTGCAAATCCTGATACTATACATATGTATGTACAACTTCCTTTCATATATTGTAGAGTTGAAAGCTTCTGCTATATATATAAATGCAGGAATGGAACTCTTGTGAACAGTCAACCATTCAGACAAATGATGTATATAAAAATGATGTGTGTTTTATTAGTCTCAGGTTTTATGTTATAATAAAATGGGAATAGCAAAAAATTATGAATGGAGGAACTCTGAATTTTGAAGCATATATATTTATAAAAAAAAATTAAGCAATGGCCGAAATGACTAGATATGAAACTGATTAAAGCTTAAATATCAATAATGAAGGTGATTAGATTCTTACAGGTACAAGTTTGGAACCTAGACGCCCTTGACTCACTTCCTTACTCAACATCATCCAGTCAAAAAAGGTTATCATACTGTATGACTGTATCTCATTCTCATCTCCCTCCCCAAACCTTCCAAAAATAATTCTCTAAAATTTATGCATGTTACTTTTCCCCCAGTTATGATAAATCATGACTTACTTCCTTTCTCCACATCATCCACGGTCAGAAGGTTATCATACTGAACCAGTTGATTTTCTGCCGTTCTGGACAACTGTTCAACAAATGTCTTAGATTGTTCTAATGTCACAACCTGTTGTTAATAAAGTAAAATTGATAGACAAATGTAACACAGTAAATGATTCTTTTTGTATATTCATCAAAACTTTAAAAACAAGAATGTGTCCATAGTACACGGATGCCCCACTCGCACTATCATTTTATATGTTCAGTGGACCGTGAAATTGGGGTCAAAACTCTAATTTGGCATTAAAATTAGAAAGATCATATCATAGGGAACATGTGTACTAAGTTTCAAGTTGACTGGACTTCAACTTCATCAAAAACTACCTTGACCAAAAACTTTAACCTGAAGCAGGACAGACGGACAGATGGACGAATGGACAAGCGGATGAACGGACGCACAGACCAAAAAACATAATGCCCCTAGGTGGGGCATAAAAAAACATATCTATGGAAGTGTCAGTGAAATAGAGTGTCTTATTTTATATTTGCAAGTTTTATCCTAAAGATTTGCATTAGTTGTTACATCTGGTTTTAAAACAAAACAATACTGAATCATCATAACTCAAAAAATTACATAATCCACAAGAGCCTGCTTCAATGGCTATACCTTTAATTGAAATGAGGTCGTGTTCAGGTGAACTCTGTCTGATAGACATGTACATCTTCCAAGGATCCAATATACCAAATATAGTTATCCTATTTCTCATAATAAGTGAGTAAATCACACGACAAAAAACTAAACATTTTTGTCAAGCAGTCATTGAATCGTGAAAATGAGGTCAAGGACAATGGACATATGACAGGCAAAAACTTCGTAACATAAAGCATCTGCATACAACATATGAAGTATCTAGGTCTTCTACTTCCTAAAATACAAAGTCTTATACAAGTAGTTTATGCCCTTACCATCAGATTGTTATCCCTATGTCTTGCATTCTGTGACTTTCCTTGCAGGCGAGACAAAAATGGGACAGTAAAGTACTCACAATAGTAAAAACCCTTGTCATATCTTCATGTGTCTGTTCAAAGTTAGAAACCTTGTCAGTGGTTGTCTTTGATTATTATCTTAAAATGTTGTTCCTTTAGAGAATTTGGTGTTGATTGATAAACTTGTGTAGCTTTCTTAAATTTATTCATAACTTATCAAGAATAGTTTGATTGATTGCTAGTTGGAGCTTAACACCAATTTCAGCACACTTGACTATATCATGGCAGCCAGTTTGTATTGGTGGAGAAAGCAGGAGTGCCTGGAGAAACCACTACTTTCAACAGGAAAACTAGCAATCTTAGTCAATTAAGATTGATGTAAAACGCATCTTGCAACAAGACGGGTTTCGAAACCCAGAACATTAGTGTTAACAGTTGAGATTAGGAGTGATTAAGTATTTAAGATATTTCACAGGTAAACTGAACATCTCTCTAACTTAAACAAAATCCTTAATCATAGTTTCTCTTATGGTTGTGACCTGTTATCTATTTCTTGCATGAATAGATATTTCTCCTATCACACTGCACATAGTGTGATACGAAAAAGTGATATGAAAATCTGTGTTTATTTGATTGGCTTATCAAGCATCACAAGACGATGTTACAGCATTTCCAATGGTTATTCGTTAGGTCAATGATGACTTTGAAAGGTTATGACGATGTACATTTCGTCCATGGCAACGGACATTGTGATTTCTTCAATAATATACAAAACACTCACACATTTCACCTGACAATCTTCTTTTTGTCAAATCTTATTACAATATTCTGAAACGTACAAAAAGTCTTAAAATGACTGATGTTAAAGTTTGAATGTGCAAAAGACTAGATCAACATTTCACGGAATTTTTAATTTTACACATTGAGAGTGTTGACCATAAGAGAAATAGGTTTAACAACTTGTGAAAATTGTATATCGCTTGATATCAACTCTTGTTATTTAATTTAAATAGTAATAATAAACTTGCTGAAGGCTCGTTTATTATTATATTGAAATTAAATAACTCAAGTTGACATTAAGCGATATCCCATTCTCACTCGTTATGAAACCTATAAATATCCGATCTTACCTGTAGTTCTTTAGTCTGCTTTTCTACAGCAGATATATAGGCATTATGTCTTTCCAACTCCTTCTCACCCAGGGATGCTATTCCAGTCTTCTGATGTGGGTGTCCTAGGGTAGGACGTAACAAAGTCGAATGATCTTTCTGAAAATATATATAGATATATATAAATGTGTTATTAGCACAGATAGTAGATAATCTTTTATCTCGTATATACCTTCTACAAAGTCTAATGATTTTTTAGAATATACCTTAAAATTAAGTATACTTGTTATTCCCTTTTCAAACTTAAATCTCAAATAAATGAAGAAAATCTTAATAACATGATCAGTAAAAGATCACTTCTAATGCATTTCATTTAGAATGATAATTTTCATTGGACGTTGACAAATATTTTGACGGGTTAGATTCCACATTCCACCAGTCCGTAACTAAGAAAAGCCACCATTTTGAATTCCGATTTTTTTTTGGTATATAATTTTTCAATAAAAATAAACATTAAAGTCACATTTCGTGCCTCGAAATTTTCTTTTTGTCAATATTTAAACCGTTCAGAAGTATACAAAGAGTACAAATATGTCTAGTGTTTATGTTTGACATCAGGAGTATACCTATGACATCACATTGTTTAGATGCCAAACACAATGTAGCAGTTCACAGACTTTTTCATTTATGGCATTTTTAAACCAAAATATTTACTAAAATGGAATTTATTTTAATATGTGGCATTAGAATGGAGATAACTGTATTGTATTTTAAGCTGGCTTTTGTAAAACTTGTAAAATCTATGTTTTATGAAGGCCAAGCTTAAAATCTCCTAATTAGATATTGACAGATTCACCTGTTTTTTTGTGAAGTTGACTGAGATCAATTAGATACTGACAGATTTACCTGTTTTTTTGTGAGTTGATTGAGATCAATTAGATACTGACAGATTTACCTGTTTTTTTTGTGAAGTTGATTGAGATCAATTAGATACTGACAGATTTACCTGTTTTTTTGTGAAGTTGATTGAGATCAATTAGATACTGACAGATTTAGCTGTCTTTTTGTGAAGTTGACTGAGATCAATTAGATACTGACAGATTTACCTGTTTTTTGTGAAGTTGACTGAGATCAATTAGGTTCTGACAGATTTACCTGTTTTTTGTGAAGTTGACCGAGATCAATCAGGTTCTGATAGATTTACCTGTTTTTTGTGAAGTTGACTGAGTGTAACAGAGAACTGTTCAGACACAGTGTCCCTGGCCTCTTTAGATTTATTAAGCTCATCCTCCAGTAAATCCTTCAGTAATAAATCAGGGACATGGGAAACTGCTTCTTCAAGTTGTATCAACTGATTTCTGAATTCTGTAAATTTGTAAATAATAAATAGAAGTAAGTAAATACATGTACTGCAACTAATTCATGTCTTTTTTGTGTGAAAACATGCCTACTCCTACCCATTTTTGTATTACTGTTTGTTAAAGAGTCTTATCATACCTATGTATAAGTGTTTAGTTTTGAGAGGTCCAAAAGTGACAAGATTGTTTTAAATTTTTGCAATGCTGAATTTTGATATGCATGGGTCCTTAATTTTTTTTTAAATCTTGTCTGTTTTCAGGGTGTGTCTACTGGGTATCAGCAACTTTTTTCTCAAAAGATCTTACTACAAAAAATTCACATAAGTCATGTAGTTATTTAAGTATAACTAACCATAAATTCTAATCACAAGATCTTTTAGTTAAAAGTAGCTAATGTTTGTGTCAAACAGTTGATCATTTTTGTTGAGTTAAAATACTATTTTTCCAAGACACTATACTATAAAAAGCTTGTCATATAGTGTGGTTGTGAGACAATAGGCTGACCTCTAGATGTCTTTTGGTTAACTTGTATTCTTGTCTTGCTTTCAAATTCAACTTTACGCTTTCTCATTTTTATTTACAATGCAGTGGTTTTTTTCTAATTGTAAGCTCATAGCATGCAGTTTTCCAGAAATGACAGAATACAAACCTTGTAAGCATTGATTGTGATACTCGTCAGCCTGTGTGAAATACGACTGTAATTTCTGTACAACAACGTCAGCACATAGTTCAAATGTCTCCTGTAAAACCTGTGGTCTGGTTACTTGTCTGTTACCTTTGTTCTTGTAGTATAACTGTTTAAAAGAAAAAAATCAGTAAATAAATTCAGCTATCTGAAAAACCACATCAATGCTATCTGAGATAAAATATGAAACCAAATCAGCTACACGAGATACTAATATTGATAAATACAGTAATCTGGAGAATAAGAAATAATTAAAAATGTTTTTAAAAACATTTCCCTAATTAATACTTCCACCCTTTATACACAATGTACTTCTGTCAACGCTTTCAGACCCATATAAAACTTCAAAATGAAGCATTTGATTCTTGATTAAGTTTTAAGAAAGAACATTCAATTCTTATATACATTTGTGGTAATGCTCATTCTAATTTATTTTAAGACTGAAAAATTACCTCTGCAGATGTCAGAAGACCATCTAGTGCTTCCCGTAAATTTCTCCTTATAATGCCCAACAGATGGAACTCCTCTCCTTCTTCATCTTTTTCTCCAAATATTAAATATTTTTTGTCAAATTTAGTAGATTTACTACTTCTCCTTAACCTGAAAAATCATAAAATGAGTATGTATAGCTTAGATTTTGGTGTTTTGTTATAAAAAAAGAAACACATCTTAAATCATGGGATGATGAATTGTACGCAATTGTATGATCTTACCTAATACCAAAAGAAAAAAAATGAAAATCACTTAAATTAACAAACCCAAATGAGTTATAATGAAGTAATGTGAAACACTTAAACAAACTAGCTTTAATTTAAGGAAAATCATTAAAAAAACAAAATAATTACTCTGTAATTGACTTAAATCCCACCAATCCCAAATATATGTTATATATGTACAGATCAATACTAAGAAAAACTGTCTCTTAATGTCATTATTTTTTAACTAAAAATTCAGTTTCGGGAAGGCATCTTTGAGAAAGACAAATCCCAATACATTTCAGAAATGACAAAGTCAAAAAGAATACCCTTACATTGTAATGCATATGATAAAATTAATTAATTTCTATATTTTTCATGATCCTGTAAAAAAGTACTGTAAATTCAGAAATAATCGCAAGGTTTTTATCAATGCGAAAAATGCAACCAGGTGATTACTGCATTAATAAATAAGAACCTCGCATTCTGAATTCAATACATAAATCTGTATACAGATTTTCCTGAAATCGCAATAATTTATCTTGCAGTTCTGTCAATTTGTAAAAATCACAATTATAAATGCACACAATGATTTCTGAATTAACAGTATCAAATAGGGTTCATTTCCAGCAGTCACATGCAAATTAACAACTGCAAAATAATAAAAAAAAAACAAAACTGGAAAACAAAATGAAACAAAACTTGTTTTACAGGGAAAAAAATCCTACATATGTTTATAAAGGAAAAGGTATGATAAGGCCACTTTTGTTGGCCCCTTGAATTAGAAAATCAAAAAGTATTATAAATCTACCAAAGAATATCCATCAGATGTTCATAAAAAATAAGTCTGTCAGACATCAGTATCTATATTTTTGATTTTTTTTTGTCTTGTACATTGGTTTAAGGGTCTCAAGCTTCTTACATTTAGTGCAGAACAGCGAAAAACTGCCAAAATAGCCTCATTTTGAGATCTTGTCATTAATATTTAGATATGAACAACAGCTTTACCAAAATCGAGATTTTGCTACAAAAACTATGCGTGAAATGGCCATTTTAGATCAAATATGTAATTCTGACATATTATTGACTTCATATTGACCTCTCTGCACAAAATAGTCCTGTTCATTTATCAATAAATTTAACATAATTGTGAAAGGCTTGGATTAATTTATTATGTTTGCAATTTCAGTGGCCAAATAAGTGGCTAAAGTTTAACCAACAGTTGATCATTTGAAGGAATTAATACCAACTGCATCTAAAGAAAGTGTTCTGCCCATACACAACTCAAATGGACAAAGCTTCTTGTATAAGGACACTAAAAAATGTATGGTTATGCTTTTATGATGTCCACTTCTAATTTATCCCACATCTAGAAATTTAGGGAATAAATTTAACTTATCTCTAAAATTGTCATTTCCAAATAAACAATAAACTGAATATTTCCTTAATAGTACACCAAGTACATACATGTATCAGTGTAAAAGATGTAACCATAACAAGTTTTACAACTCAACAATAATTAATAGTCTGAACAAGAATTACAGTGAAATCTGTGTAAACAAAAACTTGAAGAAACCCAATAATTATAAATGAACTAGACTTGTTCTGTATCTCCCATGTATAGTTATTGTATTAGACCTGTCTAATCTGAACAACCAAATCAAAATTTTTAGTGTCAGAAGGGTTTAGTAAATACAGATTTCACTCTATGAAATTACCCTGGCTTTATGGCTGCTTTCACACTTGCAATCATGCCAATTATTTGTACTGGTACCATACTATTAAAACAACACTAATTGATTTATACTTAAAAAAATAAGAAGATGCAGTAGACTACTCTTTGAGTGGGGGTATAATTTGGCTTCACAGAGTCTTTCTTTTCATTCCGTCACTAGGATTTTTTTTAGTTTTAACTTATTTTATTGTCGAAAATAATACATGACAAAAAGATGACAAGTTATACAACTTAAAATTGTCTTCCCTAAATGTTTTTGAATATAAATAAATGGAAAATTAGACATATCACCAATGAAATAAAACCTAGTGATAGTAATACAAAATTATCAAAAATAGAATACTAGCTTTCAATTTAATGCCATTCCAAACCATATAGAAATGTTATATTATCTAGGGGGGCTTTATTCAATAACATTTTTACTAGGGTCAAGACTGAATCTTGTATTTTTTTCATGATTCTTATGTCATTTAGATCAGTTCAAAATCAACAAATATTATAAAGTATCTCACAAAAAAAATCCTTATCCCTTAAATATTGAAGGAAAATATAATGAAGATTTTACATATTAAATATCAAAGAAGCACCTTAAGTATGTAATATTTTTGTTTGTTTTAACCTTTTATCAGAAATGAAATGGTCCATTATGTACATGTGATTATCACTAGTATAACACTTGGACAGAAGAATTTGGACAAACTAGATAAGTGTCCTCTTTTATAAGTTGTCTAATCACTATTGGTAAACAACAAATGCATATGTTCTAGCTTTACACAAAGTCATGTCTACCATATTAAACAAAATTCTTACAAACATTCATTTATCATCTATGTAAGGGGGTTGGGGAGTCTATTAAAAGCTGTCAGTAAAGAATTGTCTTATACAAACTTATCATGAACCTGGTGCTATATTTTAAAATATACTCTAATTAATTGACAATTCTTTTTTCTTTTTTTTACTAATAGTCATCGGATGACCATATCATTAAGTGCCAAAAGATATGTTTTTTTTTCACCTAAGAACTGACAAGCTAAAAAAGAGGCAGAAGACACCAAAAAGACAATCAATTCTAATACAGTAAATTTTCAATAAATTTTTAATACAGATTATTAGATGTATTTTTTTGAAAAATGAAGGCATTAACACCTTATATATACTGTCAATTCTTCAGTTAAGCTTAGACTTCTTTATGACAGTTGATGTTTAATGGCAGACATCCTGGAATAAAACATGACCACCAAAATAATTAGTTAATATATCAGACAGGTTAAGGAAGGGAGGTAACTCAAACAAAATAATTAGTAAAATCTGTTGTCCAACACCACCACTTGTTAAAACGTGCACCACACAACCACACTTTACCTAGGGGCCGCAGTAGGCGTCCCATGAAAGCTTGGTTCTCTAAAAAATTAATTCTCTTGTAAGTTTTACAAAAGGTTAAAAATTTACCTAGACAATGATCCCTCTCTTTCTCTAACAAAAAGAAATTCCAAAAAAATACATAAAATGCAAATTTTTATAAGTATTAAGTTCTCTTTTAATGACTATTATAAAGAATATCTTATTTTGATTAATATTTTTTGTTTTAATTCTTATTATTTTGTTTCCAATGTGAAATCAATGAACAAAAATCTTACCATCTAACCAGTAACATTCACTGGCCAATATATATTGAAAACTATTCTTCTAGTTATAGTTTCATTCTATGGTAGCTTTTCATAACATAACCTTTTCATATTTAAACCAATTTTCTGGCAACCGTCAACTTGAATTCAATTTAATCAAGAGCTGAAAGTACGTTCCTTGGAATTCAAAACCAGACATTATTTTCAACAGCTCTCAATCAAATTAGTGAAATTGACCACTTGCAAGAAAATCAGATCAAACATGAATGATTTATGCCACAAAAGTATGAAGAAATTAATAGCATGCTAGCTTTTCTTTTAAAGGATTCCACAGAACCAACTATAACTAATTCAGACTTATAATGCATTCTATTTTTCTTTATTCTTAAAAGCCTTTAAATAATGGTAAATTTGTGCTATATAGGTAGTGTACATATATAATGACATTGTCAATACATTTGATAAATACAAGTTCACAAAGACATGTATATTGGGATACACATTATAAATATATTAATACATTGGGATACACAAATATAAATATATATATATATATATATATATATAGGGATGCACAAATATATATGTATATTGGAATAATACAGTTGAATTTTATTGTGTGGTTAAACAATCTTAACCCTATATGACTTTTTTACTTGTCTAAAGATAATAACTTTGGTAAAGAATTTATGGTTTAAAAAATAAATTAAAGAATACCTGCTATATTGTTTTTCATAACATAAATCATGCAATACATGTCTTCTGTAGAAATTATCATATCCTAATCTTTTTAAAGTTTTACAAAATTTCCAAAAAGCATTTTCATAATATTTCAAATTGAAAATTGGTAGTAAATCAAAATCTATCTATTGAATATCAACAGCAGATTTTAACAATAACAAATTCAATTACCTAATCAATGAAATTGATGTCAACACTTTATATGGATAAATGCTATACTCATTTCATACTTGTAGTAGTTTATCATCCATGAGAACTAAACAACAAAATTCAACTGTATGTGGTTGTTTAGAAATTTGTTTTTGATATTTAACAAGAAAGAAATACATACCCCGATTGGACTCTCTTGGGAGGACTATCTGTTGGAAGTCCACTATTTGGTCCTCGTTTCTGTTTAGATTTGTCTGTTGGGGTACTGACTGACAATGATGACTTCATTTTCTCTCTCATCTCTAATTGTTGTCCAACTAAAAATCATTAAAAAATTAACAATATTGATAATGTTTAATCTATGCATTAATGGATATCTAATAAAAAAAACTTTGGAAAGTATAATTTTTTCAACTAACAATTAAGTGTTATTTTCATTTATTTTGTGTTGGAGAAAAATGCAAGAAAATTTCCCTTTTTACTCTGTAGAATTTATATGAAGATAGTCCAATGGCAAACGTTGAAGTGGTGATCATTATATGATTGGTAAAATCAAAATATTGATAAATTTTTCAAATCAGCAGTAAGACATCCAAAGAGATGTTTTTGTGTATTTGTATTTGTGATATGAATCATATGAGTGCATATACATAATAGATGAATAATAGACATCTGATATAACTTAAGATGTTTGAGGTGCGACAAAATTATTTTGTTTAACTATTTACACTTACATGGAGTTGTCTCCCCATCTATATCAGCATCCATTCCAAACCTCATCTTTGTTTTCTGTGTTCTATTAATAAGAACAGTCATATATCAGTATACCATATCATATGATTAGTTAACTCATGTTAAATCTTTCACCTCAAAGAGGAAAATTGACTTCTTTTTTTAAATTTTAACTGGAAATTATTTGACAATTGTAATCTCCAGAAAATGTCAAATAGCTTTCTCTTGAAGAACAAGCTATGTCACTCAAATATTTTTCAATTTGTCAATACTTTAGATTGATAAAAAATAATTTATCATGAAAAAAAAGTTTCCAGTTCACATTTATACTAAAGAAATGGAATAAATCAAAACTAGACAAAGTGATGCCCCAGCACTCCACTCTGAAGTAACTGTATTATAACAAAGTCAATGTAGGACTTTTTTGAGATATTATTGTGTCTGGGAGACACAAATGATGCCTCCGCAGATGCAAAGTGTTATTTTAAAATACACAAAGTTGAGCATGGGAGCACATAGGTCTATGGTTCACTGTAGGAGGAGTTATCAGGAAACGCTATGCACCTCTTATGCAAGTATATACTCCAAAAATGACAAAGTTCAACTATCTCCCAAAAGAGCAAATATTAATAAAAATCAAAACCCTGACCACATGCACACCTTCAATATATGTACAAACAGCCAGTCAAGTGAAAAATTCTTAGCATTCAAACTATAGGAGGAGTTATCTGGAAACGCTATGCACCTCTTATGCAAGTATATACTCCAAAAATGACAAAGTTCAACTATCTCCCAAAAGAGCAAATATTAATAAAATTCAAAACACTGACCACATGCACACCTTCAATATATGTACAAACAGCCAGTTAAGTGAAAAATTCTTAGCATTCAAACTATAGGAGGAGTTATCTGGAAACGCTATGCACCTCTTATGCAAGTATATACTCCAAAAATGACAAAGTTCAACTATCTCCCAAAAGAGCAAATATTAATAATAATCAAAACCCTGACCACATGCACACCTTCAATATATGTACAAACAGCCAGCAAAGTACAAACTTCCTAGCATTCAAACTGTAGGAGGAGTTATCTGGAATAGCTATATACCCATTATGGGATGTACTGACGGAAGGAAGGGTGGACAGACAGACGGACGGACGGACGGACAGAAAGGGGTAAAACAATATGCCCCAAACTTTCAGTTGCGGGGGCATAAAAACTTTGACATGCCAAATTTGGTAAACTGTTTCCAAGTTCTGAGAATTCAAGAACTACCAAGTTCCCCTTGCAAAAGCAGCAAAGTTGATTAGAACTGACACATAGCATGAAATTGGCAAGAGGCATAGGTACACATCAACCTCCTGAGTATTACATGTGACAGTATTAGGCTGAGGAATCTAGACTTACTTTAATATACTTTTGATTACCCCAACAGAGGGATCTTCCGTTGGTTGTTTTCCTGCTTTACTGATAGGCGTTGGTGTTGAGTCTGCTCCAGTGAAAACAACACGTGCTGTAAAAAATTGTATAATAGGTTTGAACATCATTATTTTAACTATAATATAGTCATAACCAGATGCTGCAGACATGATATTAATCTCTAAACACAACAAATATATTTTTAGATATGACAAATGAATGTTTAAATTTGTGATTCTCCATTCTAAATCATAATAAGGCTATCTAAATATACTAAACTTTATAATTTGTTAACAAATTGTGAGGTATTTAATAAGTTATTTCTAATTAAGCAGCTGTTTTTACAAAATATCTCGTGCCTAAAATTATGGGATAATTTAAAATGAATTGTTCATAACTTAAGTCTGGTAATAAGTCTAATAAGTTTTTCCATTAAAATAGCTTTTTACAATGTTTTAATGGCATGACAGGTTTTTTTCGCTATAAAAAATCTAAACAAAAAGCTGAAGTTTTTTTTTTTAAACAATACTATAAAATTAAACAAACAAAAAATATTCAATAAAGTAATAATTTTACCAATAGCTGGAGGTCCCTGCATTGCAGAGGTTGGTCTGGCAATTGTGTCCTTTGTACAATTCAAGAATATACTTCTGGCATGGTAGGAATCAAACACTAACTTTAGTGAGTCATTCAATTGTGTTGATGTTATTTGCTAAAATTATAAATTCAACATAATTATTTTATAGAACAATGAGAAACCTGTGTGATCTGGCAACAAAAAAAATTGCTTAATTCAATATCAATCAAAAGTTCAACATTTAAGGTGACCAGATAAAAACTTATTAATCAATATCCACAAAATATACTTCCACAAGCAAACATGTTTGTGCCTGTTGTTAGCCGTTTCCTTTGTTGGTGTGGTCCATTGGTGTTTCTAGTTTTTTATATAGATTAGACCATTGGTTTTCCTGTTTGAATTGTTTTACACTAATCAGTTTGGGGCCCTTCATAACTTGCTGTTCGGTGTGAACCAAGGCTCCGTGTTGAAGGCCGTACTTTGACCTATAATTGTTAACTTTTTATACATTGTGACTTCGATGGAGAGTTGTCTCATTGGCACTCATACCACATCTTCTTATTTATATTAACCCTGCCACATTCTGTATGTGCCTGTTCCAAGTGAGAAGCCTATCATTCAGTAGTTGTCTTTGTTACTGTATAACATATTTGTTTTTTCGTTAATTGTTTGTACATAAATCAAGCTGTTAGTTTTCTCATCTGAACTGTTTTACATTTGTCAATTCAGGGCCTTTTATAGCTTACTATGCTGTATGGGTTTTGCTCATTGTTGAAGGCTGTACGGTGACCTTTAGAACTGACTTCTACATCATTTGGTCTCTGAGGGAGAGTTGTCTCATTGGCAATCTTACCACATCTTTTTATTTCTATATTGATTATCATATTTTCTTTCTTTAAAGAATCTTTTTTTTATCTCACCTCTTTATCCAAGTTAGGTCTTTCACAAGCATCAATCCTCCTGACTACATCATTGAGGTATTGGGCTAGTTGTTGAGCCTGAGAATTACTATTGGCTACCTCAGCCTTAATTTTCACTTGTGTGTTTGTTAACCATCTGGCTATCCTTTCCATAAATACAAGGTCTATCATGTGGTGTTTAAACCTAAAATAACATAAATTGTAATTAACAAGAAATCTTTTTTCAAATTTTTTTGAGTAGACATTGTGAGAATTGTAACTGGCTTAAGATAAATTTCTCATTATCAAAAATGTTATTCACTTCTTTTAAGTCTGGGCTGCTTCATTTATACAAACCTGTCAGGGAAGCCAGTTATAAATCACATATACCAATAGATGTCTAAAACATGACATAAGGATGAAAGTACATTTTAAAATCAAAATTTATCAGAAATGTCAACATGGCTGCTACAGGTAAATATCTTGTAACTGAAATGTTTTAATGGAATATGCCTGTCTTGTATTATCTTTGGTTTTTTTTGTCTATACAATTAAAAATAAATGGAGAAAGTTTCCATGGGACACAGATGATGCCCCTGCTTGCATATAACATTATAAAGGGCAATTAATCCAGAACAGTAAAAGTGACGCCACCCAAATTCAAACTTGATCTGAGTTCTGTGGTAATAAGCATTGTGTGTAAGTAAGTTTCATAACATTTGGTTGAGGCAAACTAAAGTTAGAAAACAGAAACCTATTTCAGGACCTACGTATGGATGGACAATGGTAAACCTTAATGCCCCCTCCCCTACAGCGGGGTTATAAAAATCCTCCTTGCTTTATATACCGGTAATACTATTTTCTGGGTATAGAGCATACCTTGTTTCTTTCCATAATTTACGATTTTATTGTCATTTTTCACCTTTGCTACATTTTTGTTTCACTCTACATTCACCTAATAACAATCAATCAAATTTGTTTTTTAAATATTTCCACCACAAAAATGAGAACAGGTTTATGTGTTTGAGGAGAATATCCATTATTCACTTACCTGTCATCAAATTCTACAACCACTTTAGTGACCTGTTCCCTACGTTTGGATTCTAGTCCTTCCAGTTCTAACATAATAGCACCCTCACATTTATCTATTTTCTGGGATGATTGGTCCAACTTTTTACAGTATTCTCTAATTTCCTCTGGACAAAAATTACCACCATCAGAAAATACCCTGAAAATATATTGTCAATCATATCAATGACTTATCTTGTCAAGTTCTTCACACTTAAGATATACCGTTACTCCTCATTGAATGTACCACTGGACATTAAAAATAAACAACAATCAATCAATCAACAGTTGAATGTTATCAAAGTTTTTCCATTTGTACATATATGTTTTAATAGGTTTTGGCAATTATGTAATTTTTATGTAAATCATTTGTTCATGTGATCAACATTTGTATATTTTCCTTTTTCTTTTACTATTTTTTCTATCCGAACATATCAAATTACTGCATGGGTATTATTTTTATTTGTTTGATAGTTAAATTTCAGGGTCTCTAAAACCATAAATATTTGTATATCTTCTATGTTGACTAGTACTATTCAAATTTTAAGGAAATTATATTTTATGGATATCATATATAGAGTTCCTTAATGGTTGTACTTATCAGCAGTTTAGATGGGTAAAAGTACTGGGTAGTGGGTACCATGTCTTACATTTGTGTAATGAAAGGCCCATTGTAATTTCCAACCAAATGCAAAGTTTCCTTAAATTTGTACTATAAAATGTCTGTAACAAAGAATATAAGAATTCCAGAAACACCAAAATATCAGCAATGCATGAAAAATCAACATCAGAGAAATAAATAAGCTTACTGTGGATTCATTATTACTTGTGTGGTACTAATATATGTGGATTAACTGGGTAAAGGTGAACCAAGAATTCAGATGTTCAATGAAATGCAAATTTCCAATAGGCTTGTATACAGGATTTTTTCTAAAACCACAAAGATATGTATCTGCGAAACAACAATTTTTTCTAAATCAACAAAAACTGCTACCGATGAAAATAAATGAATCCACAGTATTAATCTGAATATGGATTATAATGAAAAAAAAATATAAAACCTACTTAAATGACTTTATAAATCTGGCATTTGATTCACGTAATCGCTGAAGTGTATCATCTAGATGCTGACGGAAATTCTTCAATGATGTTCTAATCATTGTCATAAACTTTTCTGATTCTTCTTTCAACTGCATACGTAGAGAAGCCAATCTACAAGAAAAACATAAACAATGTTATATCTATTCTTCAAATATGTGAACCTCAGGATTCATTTGGATGTCCAGTTGAAAAAAAAACATATTACATGTATAAAAAATATCTCATAATGAAGATCTGAAAACTTCCAAAATCTTCAGTTTTGCACATTATAAAATCCTGATTTATTTTACATCCACATGTAAATTATTTTCAGAAATAGAAATATTTTTTCAAAATTAATTTGCAGATACATTATTGATTTTCTTCTCTGGTGAACATACATGCTTTTGAATAGAAAGCAGCTTATAGAATTTAACAAATTCTTATATCTAACCTAAATATGTGGAAAACTGTTGACTTCTGAAAGGGTAGAGTGGGTGGCGAATATTCGTCGTGGACACATTTTCGCCGTTTTTGCAATTTTTTCTGTAAATTTTGTGTGCTTTTACCCAATACTTGCCTAAATAGATGCTAAACGCTGTTTATAATGTTCGAACTGTTGATATTCCTCTTTACCCCATTTCCAATGTTATTCGCACATATAAAGAAATACGCAGGTGTTTTTGAACGATTTTGGCAATTATGTAAAATTTATATGGCACGCATGCGCAGTCATCAAGTAAATATTTGTTAGAAAAATCGTATAGGAATGATCTCTCAAGCTAATTCATGTAATTGCAAACAATTGTTTTTATAATATAGAAGGATAATGAGGATGGTCATATCATTCATTGCGGAGAAAATGTGTCCCCCATGGCACAAGAACAACTTAATTTCCTCTTGAGTTTGCGTTCATTTTTAAAATATTTAACTAATGTTTTGAAGAGAATTCCTTTATCAAACATTTTTTTCATATAGTAAACTTTCTGAAACCTACATAAAAAGTTTCAAATATTCGAAAGTAGGTCGGATGTAGGTGGAAATGAACGAATTTTGCGTCGAATATGCGTCACCCACTCTATATCAAAAGGAAAAATAATTAAGGAAAACAAACCTGCAATTTCTAAAATCATATCTGATAACCACAAAGTAGGTCAAAATGTCTTGCCATTACACAAATATGGAAAAATGAAGTAAAACAACTAACTTAAGAGAGACAACAGAGAACAACAGTCCTTACTAGGTACTAACAGCATAATACTTACTTTGAAGATTTAGTAGCATTGATAAAAACCAGTTCCAAAGCTTCAATATCTTCTCTGAACTTGTGTGTTAGTTTATTATGCTGTTCCTCCATGTTTGTAAATTCTTGTTTTAGATCAGTCAGAGCCTGCTGAACACCTTTGGTGTGTCTTGACACTCTTTCAGAATGCATCACTAGTTCAGCTGAAAAAAATCAGATGGTACTGTTTATTGATACAATAATTCCAAGTTTGAAATAGTCATGTATGTTTTTATTAAACGTGTTGAGAAACTAATTGCACACAGCTTTTTTTCATTCTATATCAATCATATAGAAGTTTTCTTCATAGAACTGCCTAAAATTAATGCTGCAACATAAAATATTAAAAAAATTACAATGCCATACCCCCTCAATTCCCTTCCCTTAAAAAGAAAGGAAAAAAATCCTATCTTAAAGAAAGACATTGGGAATATCTAAATAATGAAGGGAAATAAGTCATTACCTGCTCTGACATTGTGTACATCAAATTCTGCTCTACGAGACCTTGGTTTGTGAAGATGTAACCGTAAATCTAATTCACTGTTCAGTTCTTCACACTGAAATATAAGGACAAAAATTGCTCAGCAAATGCTATTTAGGAGACCTTCTTTCAAAGTTGAAAAGATAATTCTTTGTACATGAATATAAAGAAATAGATCAAAGACTCAAATGGTCACATTGCGCAGAATGTTTCTTAAAGAATTGAGAATGCTCTATACTGAACATTTAAATATTTGAAAAATGACTAAGTTCCCAAATATGGAAAAATGAGAACAAATTCCTCATACAATCCCATGATAGCAGGTGCATAACTTCAACATATGTACAATATTTCAGTGATGTTTCCGGGATATGGGTTATAAAGCTGTAGGAGGAGTTTATTACACAAAACTTGTACCCTCTTTCATAAATTTTGCTGAAAATGGTTAAGTGCCCAAGTCTGGAAAAAAAGGGAAAATATTCCTCAAACAATCACATAATAACAGGCCAACAACTTCAACATATGTGTAATCTTCTTATGAAGTTTCAGGGATCTGGGTTGAAAACTGTAGGATGAGTTGATTACACATACTAGGTACCCAGTTTTCCCCATCCGCCTGCCGGAAATCACATACTATAAGCCAGCTCTAAAAGTCTTGTGTATACTGTAAATTCAATATTTTTAAATAAATGCATGTAATATTGCAATACATACAGTGATGTCAGATAATACATTCAGAAGGTAATACTATTTGCTTACTTTAGAAACAACAACACTTTCAGACCTCTCTGAGGCTTGTTCAGTCCATTCTTCTAAATGGTTCAGGAAATTCAATCTTATGCTGCAATATATAATTAGTGGAAATCAAATAATGTTATGGTGTTAAACAAAACCATAATGTCTAGAAGAAAGTCCTATCAAATATCACAAATAAAACATAACTGAGGCAATCTAGCAGCAAAGTTTATATCATGCACCCATGCTCTCTAAGAATAACTAAACTATTAAAAATCATTCTAAAATGTAGGTTAAGGTAATTTAATGAAATACAATTTTGCACTTTATAGTTTGACCTTCACTATGGAAAGGCTGGATTTCTTCCAGATTTTCCTCACATCCTTGTGCAAGAATCTCAATTTTCACTTAAATGCCTCAGAACTGATGTTTTATTTTAAGAATCATTTCAACTTACCCTTTCTTCACATCATTTATCAATGAGACTTCCACAGTAATATTTTTAATGTAATCTGGTTGTGTTCTTGGTGATTCTACTTCAGTCAGGAAAGTAGCAGTCTGTGATTTGTCTCCTGTCAGACCATATTCCCCTGACTCAGTCAATACATAAAACATTGTTCCTTTTTCTGTCCTTAAAATTTCTGTGATGGCTTCTGATTGGGTAGTCTCCTTAGCTTTTCCCTGTTAAAAGATTCAGTTATTAAAATTTCATTTAAGTTAACAAAAAAAACATAAAATATAAAAATAGACAGGTGTTTGTATCAAACCTATTATACATATATATTGGGATGCGTAGGGTTTTTTCCCCAGCAGCCTAGATGTTTCTATGAATTTGATACAAATTCTATTTTTAAAAACGAGGAATTATTTGAATCTGGAATAATTTGGAATTTTGGATATTTGATAAGAAATGTATGATAAAAACTAACCAAACTAAAGAGGGTTACTTTCACTGATATTTCAGTATGAACTAACTAACCCCCCTCCCCTAACCCTCCTTAATTGGGTTAGTTCTCATCAAACGTTTTTTATAAATTTTCAAGAATTCCCAATTATTCCAAATTCAAATAATTCCTTGTTTTTAATATTCATGCACAATTGAATGGAACTTTTAAATAAAATGTTCAAGGAAAGGGGTAGGGTATTCTCCCTGAATTCATGCAACACCAAGTCCAATTTAAAGAATTCAACCAGGAACTTTTATCAGACTTGCATGTTTAAATTTGGTTAGTCCAATAAGAAAAACAACCAGTTTGCCTTCCAATATGAGGACCATAAGAAATAACTCAACTAAAATTACATCAAAGGAAAACTATCCATAGAACCTTTCCACTTGGTTTAAACAAATTTCTGATTTAATTTTTCAAGTGAAATGAAATAGGCGAAACTGGGACTACTGCTTTACATGAGGAAAACTTTAAGACAAACAATAAAGAGGGTTAATCACATTTAAAACTAGAGGCTCTCAAGAGCCTGTGTCGCTCACCTGTATTTACTGATGCTTTGGAAATCATGTAAAATAAGGTTAAAATCATAATTAATAGTATTAGATATTAGATATTATAATGATATCTAAGATAATAACAAAAAACTGCAAAATTTTTGTAAAATTACTAACTCAGGGGCAGCAACCCAACAACGGGTTGTCGGATTCGTCTGAAAATTTCAGGGCAGATAAATCTAAATCTGTGAACATTTTTGCCACCTGTCAGATTTGCTCTAAATGCTTTAGTTTCAGAGATATAAACCAAAAACTGCATTTTACCCCTATGTTCTATTTTTAACCAAGTCGGCCATGATGGTTGGAAGGCGGGGTCATCGGACAAATTTTTTAAACTAGATACCCTAATAATGATTATGGCCAAGTATGGTTAAATTTGTCTCAGTAGTTTCAGAGAAGAAGATTTTTGTAAAAGATTACAAAAATTTACGAAAATTGTTAAAAATTGACTATTAAGGGCAATAACTCCTAAAGGGGTCGACTGACAATTTTGGTCATAACAACTTATTTGTAGATCTTACTTTGCTGAACATTATTGCTGTTTACAGTTTATCTCTATCTATAATAATATTCAAGATAATAACCAAAAACTGCAAAATTTCCTTAAAATTACCAATTCAGTGGCAGCAACTAAACAACAGGTTGTCAGATTTGTCTGAAAATTTCAGGGCAGATAGATCTTGACCTGATAATCAGTTTTACCCTTTATCAGATTTACTCTAAATGCTTTGGTTTCAGAGATATAAGCCAAAATCTACATTTTACCCCTATGTTCTATTTTTAGCCATGGTGGCCATCTTGGTTGGTTGGCGGGGTCATAGGACACATTTTTTAAACTAGATACCCTAAAGATGATTGTGGCCAAGTTTGGTTAAATTTGGCCCAGTGGTTTCAGAGGAGAAGATTTTTGTAAAAAGCTAACGACGGACGATGACGATGGCACGGACGACGGACGCCAAGTGATGAGAAAAGCTCTGCAAATGTTGAAATTAAAATAGCAATACTTTAACATGTAATTTATGCAAATATTCAAAGTCAATGAACCATGACTGAAGGCACAGGGCTAAATAATCTCCATGGAAATGAGATGTGCCAATACTAATACAACTGCAAACCAAATACCATGGACTTTTCATAACTTGTTCCCTTTAAACAAACCTAAATACAAACATAACTTGTAAACTATGTAAAAGTTTCAAAGTCAATGAACCATAATTAGGGGGTGGGGTTATATAATCTCCATGGAAATGAAACTTGCAAATGCCAATACATTTGCATACTATATATCATTGACTTTACATTAGTGGTTCATCTTAAACTGAACTTATCACAAACTAATACATATAAACTAAGCAAAAGTTTCAAAGTCAATAGACCATGACTGAGGAGTAAGGAGCAAATATTCTCCATGGAAATGAGATGTGCTAATGCTTATTTAACTGCATACCAATTATCATTGACCTACCACTAACGGTTCCCCTTAAACTGACCTAATCACAAACTTATACATATAAACTAAGCAAAAGTTTCAAAGTCAATAGACCATGACTGAGGGGTAAGGATCAGCAAATACTCTCCATGGAAATGAGATATGCCAATTCTTATACAACTGCATACCAATTATCATTGACCTTCCACTAACGGTTCCCGTTAAACTGACCTAATCACAAACTAATACATGAAAACTAAGCAATAGACCATGAATGAGGGGGCGGGGCTAAATAATCTCAATGGAAATGAGATATGCCAATGCTTATACAACTGCATACCAAATATCATTGACCTACCACTAACGGTTCCCGTTAAACTGACCTAATCACAATCTAATACATGTAAACTAAGCAAAGTTTCAAAGTCAATAGACCTTGACTGAGGGGGCGGGCCAAATAATCTCCATGGTAATGAGATGTGCCAATGCTAATACAACTGCATACCAAATATCATTGACCTACCACTAGTGGTTCACCATGAACTAGACCTAATCACAAACTAATACATTGTTGATGCCGCCGCCGCAGGAAACAGCATACCTATGTCTCGCTTTTTGACTCCGTCAAGGCAAGACAATAATCATGAACTAATACATTGTGGACGCCGCCACAGACGCCGTAAACAGCATACCTATGTCTCGCCTTTTGACTTCATCAAGGCGAGACAAAAACTGAAGATTCAAATCTGAAAAAAGATGATTCTTTGATATGTTTAAAAGTAAAGTTTTGTCAAATCTGTATATAAATAAGAAGGCTTGCATTCTTAATACTAACAAAATATTTACCAGTAAGCAACAAAATTTAATCTGATATCAGTTTGCAGAACTACTCAAACGTAATCTTTGTTGATTTAAAATAAAATTTTAATTAAATGTACAATCACAGACAAGTATGTCTACAAATTAGAAAGGAGACATGATTAGGTGAAAACATGCTTGAGGAGCAAGAGGAATTCCTGTAATAAAGAAATCACAGCATGCAAATCTGGAATAGAAAACAGTCTAGACAGTCAATGTGCAATATAAAACATGCAATGTGCAGTTATTAAATCACAGATTGGTAGAGTTGCTACAGGGTCCATGCATATTTCTATGTCACTCACATCAAACTCAATATCATCATCTTCATCGTCCTCATGCTAAAATACAATATAGCTATCTATCTAAATAATGCATGATTGTGCTTTAATACAGTACAATGTATAACTAACTAAATGACAATGACAGTGAAATGACATAATTTGCCATTTCAACATTTTCAAGATTAAATTTGTAGGTAATTTCATTGTTTGTACAAGAAAATAAAAATATAGCCATTGATCGTATATCCATTCTTTAGGACCTTGTCAACCATTCACAATGTTTTGGTGTACACTTTTAAAATCATTACTCAAAATCCATTCTATTCTGAAGCGGTGAATTAATTATTGTCTTTTTTTAATGTGACAGTAATTTAAACAAAGACCATCTTACAGAAAGAAAAAACTAGAGGCTCTCAAGAGCCTGTGTCGCTCACCTGTATTTACTGATGCTTTGGAAATCATGTAAAATAAGGTTAAAATCATTATTAATAGTATTAGATATTAGATATTATAATGATGTCTAAGATAATAACAAATAAAATGCTCCGCAGGGCGCAGCTTGATACGACTGCAGAGGTCGAACCCTGAACAGTTGGGGCAAGTATGGACACAACATTCAAGCTTGATACAGCTTTGCATTTTGATTTTGATTAAATATTTGACACAGCATAGGTTTCTGACACAGAATGAATGTGGTCTAAGAACTTAAAAATTTTAAATTGGACATTCACCTATTATGGTCCAATATCCAAAATCTAAATACATGGTTAGATTCAGCATATCAAAGAACCCCATATATTCAATTTTTGTTGAAATCAAACAAAGTTTAATTTTGGACCCCGATTTGGACCAACTTGAAAACTGGGCCCATAATCAAAAATCTAAATACATGTTTAGATTCAGAATATCAAAGAACCCTAAGAATTCAATTTTTGTTAAAATCAAACTAAGTTTAATTTTGGACCCTTTGGACCTTAATGTAGACCAATTTGAAAACGGAACCAAAAATTAAGAATCTAAATACACGGTTAGATTCAGCATATCAAAGAACCCCAATAATTCAATTTTTGATGAAATCAAACAAAGTTTAATTTTGGACCCTTTGGACCTCAATGTGGACCAATTTAAAAACGGGGCCCAAAATCCAAAAACTAAATACACGGTTAGATTCAGCATAAGAACCCCAAGAATTCAAGAATAAAACCCCATTGAAATTGGTCAAGAAATAAGCAATTTATACGAAGTATCTTCTTTTGCACAATACTGTGCAATTAAATATTTCTTGCTATTGCGCAATACTGTACAATTGACAATTTCTTGCTATTGCGTAATATTGTGCTATTGGATATTTCTTGCTATTGCGCAATACTGTGCAATTGAAGATTTCTTGCTATTGCGCAATACTGTGCAATTGAAGATTTCTTGCTATTGTGCAATACTGTGCAATTGAAAATTTCTTGCTATTGCACAATACTTATTATAAAATAATTTACACATCCTGTTTGGTGTGTATCTCCTACCATATCATTATCATTTGCTTTTAAATATAAATCAGAAATAACTAACTTAAAATGGAAAATTTTAAAAGAAAAAAAAAGAAAAAAAAGGAAAAAAAAAAATCCCCCCCCCCAATTTTTTGAACCCCCTTATGATTCATCACCCCCAAACTCAATCCCAGCCTTCCCTTTGTGGTATGGTACCTTGCAGTACAATTTCAGAGAGATCCATACACTTGAACACAAGTTATTGTCTGGAAACTAGAAAAATGTGTTTTTTGGGCTCTTTTTGGCCCCAAATTCCTAAACGTTTAGGGCAATTATCCCCAAACTCAAACCCAGCTTTCCCTTTGTGATATGAAACCTTGTAGTACAATTTCAGAAAGATCCATACACTTACACACAAGTTATTGTCCTGAAACTAGTAAATGCTTGTTTTTTGCCCCTTTTTTGCCCCTAATTCCTAAAATATTGAGGCAATTACCCCCATCATCAATCCCAGCCTTCCCTTTGTGGTATGGTACCTTGCAGTACAATTTCAGAGAGATCCATACACTTGAACACAAGTTATTGTCTGGAAACTAGAAAAATGCTTATTTTTGGCCCCTTTTTGGCCCCCAATTCCTAAATGTTTCGGCAATTACCCCCAAACTCAATTCCAGCTTTCCCTTTGTGATGTGGAATCTTGTAGTACAATTTAAGAAAGATCCATACACTTGCACACAAGTTATTGTCATGAAACTAGAAAAATTCTTGTTTTTTTGCCCCTTTTTTTGCCCCTAATTCCAAAAATTTGAGGCAATTACCCCCAAAACCAATCCCAGCATTCCTTTTGTGATATGGAACCTTGTGGTACAATGTCAGAGAGATCCATACACTAACACACAAGTTATGTCTGGAAGTTACAAAAATGCTTATTTTTGGACCCTTTTTGGCCCCTAATTCCTTTACTGTTGGTACCATAACCCCCAAAATCAATCCCAACCTTCCTTTTGTGGTATTGAACCTTGTGGTAAAATTTCATAGAGATCCATTCACTTAAACTAAAGTTAGAGTGCAAAAACCAATGTGTCTTCGGACGACGACGACAACGACGACGACGCCAACGTCATACCAATATACGACCACAAAATTTTTTTTGCGGTCGTATAAAAACTGCAAAATTTTTGTAAAATTACTAACTCAGGGGCAGCAACCCAACAACGGGTTGTCAGATTCGTCTGAAAATTTCAGGGCAGATAAATCTAAATCTGATGAACATATTTGCTCTAAATGCTTTAGTTTCAGAGATATAAACCAAAAACTGCATTTTACCCCTATGTTCTATATTTAACCATGTCGGCCATGATGGTTGGAAGGCGGGGTCATCAGACAAATTTTTTAAACCAGATACCCTAATAATGATTATGGCCAGGTATGGTTAAATTTGTCTCAGAAATTTCAGAGAAGAAGATTTTTGTAAAAGATTACAAAAATTTACGAAAAATTGTTAAAAATTGACTATAAAGGGCAATAACTCCTAAAGGGGCCAACTGACAATTTTGGTCATGGGCGACTTATTTGGAGATCTTACTTTGCTGAGCATTATTGCTGTTTACAGTTTATCTCTATCTATAATAATATTCAAGATAATAACCAAAAACTGAAAAATTTCTTTAAAATTACCAATAAATGGGCAGCAACCCAACAACGGGTTGTCAGATTTGTCAGAAAATTTCAGGGCAGATAGATCTTGACCTGATAATCAGTTTTACCCTATGTCAGATTTACTCTTAATGCTGCAGAGATATAAGCCAAAATCTACATTTTACCCCTATGTTCTATTTTTAGCCATGGCGGCCATTTTGGTTGGTTGGCGGGGTCATCGGACACATTTTTTAAACTAGATACCCTAATGATGATTGTGGCCAAGTTTAGTTAAATTTGGCCCAGTGGTTTCAGAGGAGAAGATTTTTGTAAAAGCTAACGACGACGGACAACGACGACGACGACAAACGACGGACACCAAGTGATGAGAAAAGCTCACTTGGCCCTTCGGGCCAGGTGAGCTAAAAATGAGGCACACATGTGCGTGAATTGCTCACCTTGTGAAAAAAATAGCAAACTTTAGAGTTGACATCCTACATATGAAGCAAACAAACTTTGATTTCAATCAATTGAGCAGTTTTAGAGGAGAAGACTTTTAAAGAAAAGTATACATACTACAGATGATGGATAATGGAGGACAAATGGAAATTATGGCAAAAGCTCACATGGCCCGTTAAGTAAGGTGAACTAAAAATTATGTTGCTGCTGTACATTATTATGTGTAAGTATCATTACATGTAATCAATTTTATTTCTTTCTCTCTTTTCCTTATATTTTGAGAAAAAGGAATGGGCAAGCTAACAACTTTTTTTTCCTGAAATTTTGTTTTCCTGAATTTTTATTTTCCTGAAATTTTATTTTTCTAATTCTTTATTTTCCTGATGGCAAATCAATACAAAAAACATTTTATATCTTAAATATTTGGAAATCATGAAAAAATAAAATAATATAATATTGTTGTGGACTTATTATCAGTTGTTAATTTTATCAACTCTCTTTTAAATATTTTCTACTTTATTTCAGGTACCAGTAACCTAAAATGTGTGCCTGAGTAAAACTTATGGGTGTGAAATAACTTTTAATTTTCTTGAACCATCATAATCTGTATAATTATACCTTTGATGGTTTGAATAACTTAAAGAACTTTTGAAAATCTAAAAAGAAACAATTAATAAGTTGTAATTGCACCCATGGTACTTTTCTGTTTTGTTTTCACTTTTCTGTGAAAACAAGAGGGGAGCTAATTTGTCCATATTCTCGTCCTTCTTAAACCCCAATGTATGTACCTTCCCATTTAGCACCTCAATATTTAAAATTTTGTATTGATTTTTTCATGGTCTACATCTCTTCAAAAGAATTCCAAACCAGTTCTTCAGCTCTAAATAAAGCTACCTGTTTACCTGTAACATCAAAATAAAACTACCCAGGTGACTTAATACACAATTGGAAATCTTATTCAGTAAGAACAGGTGAGATTTAATAATCATTTTTCACTTTTCATTATTATAGATTGACCTTTTATTTGAACTCTGTAATTATAATATGGTAAAATAAGGATATGGACTTTATTGTTTTTGACACTGATATTGGATTTCATCTCAGAAAGTTTTACTGGCATGCCGGTCAAAAATTGTGTCTTTCATCATATTCTTTCATACATGGTTTTTAAATCATGTTTCTATTAAATCTTTAATTTTAACATAATCTGGTTATGTCTATATTCTTAAAACTTAATCCTTAAATAAAAGATGGATTATATTTTTAAAATTACATTACACTGCAGTTCTATACCATATCAGCTTATCCTATTTGACCAGATAACAGGATAACACACAATAACAAGACACCCTTTTCCTTCCAACAACCTCAACTTCTGAACCATTGCCTTCCTGTTAATATTTACATAACCGAAATAAATGTTTTACATAGAATAGGACTTTCAAAAGGGGGATTACCTATGTTTTCATAAGTACT